CTGCGACATGGTCGTTGGGACGTTGGTGAACAGAATGGTACGCGAAGACAGGCGACTGGCTCCCCATGGCGAGCGACGGTACGCTTGGCGGAGGTTGACGACGTAGAAGGACTCGCGGGCAATGATGCACATGACCATGCTGAGGAAGATGAAGGAGATTCCGGCATGGGCATAGTAGCGGTTGACATTCTTGCCTTCGGGGTTGACGTTACTCATGGAGAGAAGATCGAGCTGCTCCTGGCCTGCCCCTCCCGTTGCATTGACGGGGAAGAGAACGGGCCATGTGACAAGACATCCCAAGAAGCAGGTGACGATGAGGACCTTGAAGAAGCGCACGAACAGGTAGCCGTCAATGGACTGGTGGTCGAGAATGTACTCGTCCTTGAGGTTCTTGAAGTCTTTTATCCATCCTAAGAAGCCTCCGCTCGGTGCAGGCGTCTGTCGCTGCTGCCCCAGATGGTTGAGATAGGTTCTCGGCGCATAGACTCGGCGGAAGTATTTGCGCGCGATAAGGAAAGCGACGACGAAGGCGAGCGCAAGAATGGCAGTCGGCACCAGGGTGGAGACCAAACTGGAAAGAGAGTTGGAGGATTCTTGCTGGGCTTTGCCAACTTCACCACCCTTTGTTATGGTTAGCGCACGTCCATGCTGGTGCTGTCGCGATAGCGGAAGGACTCACGGTAGACGACATGCTGGGCAACTAGGCAGTCGCGTGCCCGTGGGGTGGGAGTGAAGGAGTCGCGAAGGGAAGATGCTTCTTAGGAAATGAGGAGGCTCTAGGACTGCATACAAATAAACAGGACTGCGGGCGCTATACAAGGAGTCCACAGCCTCTAGTGTGACGTCGTGGTCCAAGCACACTCCACAAATCGGTCCTATCGCGCGACTCGAGCCAGCCCGCTAACGCCTTCAGCTTAGCTGCGCGCATCCAGCTTCTGGACCCTGACACTTCACTGCGGCCTGCATCACCAGCCTCAATTGCGGAAGGCTTTTCACTGCGTGGCGGTGATGCAGCTCGGCGTGGCCGTGAAGTGAGGTGAGACTTTTCACCCACCCATGTCCGGCTCGAAACGCGTCTTCATGTGAAGGATGCGCAACAAGGGCCCAAGGAAATTACCGAGCTGGCGGAAAAGCAACCTTGTGATTCGCGACATGCGGCGCAAATCCAGTTGAGAGACCATTGCCAAGCTCCCAGCCTCGCTAGCGATCGTCCTGGATGCGGTACGACAATTACGTCAATCGAGCGTTGTCCGCTGCCAGGCTACCCCTTCTCCTGTCAGGTGTCACTAGACGCCGCCTTGGTTGAAAGCGACCGACAACACAGTAATACACGAACAAACACGGCACAGAACCGACTATGCGTTGTTGCGGTTAAGCAGCCGAAACTATGACGATGCCATCTCACCGTACTCTGTGCGCATCCTATCACCCTGCACTACACACAGACACGACACAGACACAGAAAGCCTATTCTCCCCACCGCATCTTGATCCCGCAGTGATAGTCACAATTGATTGACACGCGCAGCCGCTCCTCGCACACAGCGGGAAGGATTGACAACTCCACACCCCCTGTGGGAACCGACGATCTAGATTGAAGCCACATCCCGTCTCACCACGTCTGCGATCTCATCTGCGGCTACAGCCAATCCCCTGGCCCCTCCTGTGATCTCCACCAACACCAGGTGACGCGCAATGTCGACTGGACAGAATTTGAGTTTTCGTCTTTTCAGCTCGCTGCCCCTGTTTACACATGCGGGTACACGTGGCGCAGCTTCCAGACCCTGCGTTTTTCGCTGCACCGCCACACGTTCACACCAGTCTTTTCCGCGGGGTGTGCGCAATCCTTCTTACGCGCTTGGGCTAGGTAAGCTGCGATTCACGGCCTTTCCAGAGGGATGATGCAATCGCAGAGGTTGTCTTCTAATCAAACAACCTTGGAATAGTCTAGTTCGCACGTGTTATTGAGCTGTCGGCAGTGCCGTCCCATCGATGAAGAGGTAGTATGGTGCTTACTCTGAATCAGATGCACACATGCCTGTCGTCCTCACATGAGCCGATGATGAACCTTCTTTGTTCTTTCAGAGTTTGCTTCAATAGGACCGAACCAGCCGTTGATCTCTTCAGAACCCATAGATAGGCGATACGCGATATTAACCACCGAGCCCCCTGTCCACTTCGGCACTGCCGTTGCGAGATGGATCAAGAGTAGCATCTTCTCGTACCACCCACTTCAACATTCGGTATACAACCCTGGGACCTTCGGACAACAGAAGGCAGCATGCGACTACTGATCATTTGATAATGTTGGGTACTAGATGAGGCTAGCGCACATGTAGCATTGTGGCACAGCTGCGGGGACGACAACATGTGAGCTGGACTGTGATGAAGTCACTGCACACTACACTCACTAAACACCCGAACATGTCGCTATGCAACGTTTGCGAATCAATACCATGGCGCAGAATTATCACAGGAAGATGTTTAAGGGGCACGGATGAGTTAGATGGCTTCAGGTTTAATGCAGCTGGGCGAACATTATCGGGCACCTCGAACGGGTTTGCTTGGAACGAGCGGCGTTGCACTATTGCGGAGCTTGTATCTCGCGCTAAGGCATGCTCGTTGTGTGCTTTTATTTTGCTAATGATAAAGCGAAAGACGTGGGAATTGAGCTTCGAGAGGGGAACAATGTTCACGTGGGAGGAAGTCAAGATTAATATTCCGCGAAATCTCATGGTCTGGATGGATCTTCCTACCGATTCGCAAGGCTATCCGCGCATTGGAATCTACCTAGGTAATCCAAATCGCCGCGAGACTTTGGGGCTGTGGCTCTACCTCCACCTGAGCTTCGGTAACTTAGATGTACGTTTGAACACAAGAATACCAAACTAATGAGATGGAACAGAAAGCCCAAGGTGGCACCATCATGCTCCTTATGTCTTGTTTCGAGAGACACTCCATCCAAGGTCATTGCAACGTATGCTTTCCTGGTTAGATACATGTAACGCTAGCCATCCTGGATGCTCTCATCTGTCAACGCGACTAGTACCATTTCCGACAAGGGTCTTAGACGTGGGCATGCTTCCTAAACGAGAACAAATGTTTGGCGATGATCAAGCATGGAGGAATTGCTTCCGGGGTCATAGCTGCAAAGTCATACAGACTTCCACTGCCAGAATGGGTCGTTACGCTACCCTAAGCTACTGTTGGGGTTCTATGTTGCCGTTGACTACAACTACGGTCAATCTGAAAACCCATGAGTCTGGTATCAGCTTTGACGAGTTACCACGGACCTTGCAAGACGCTATCATGATTGTGCGATACTTGGGTATCGAATACATCTGGATCGACTGTCTGTGTATTTTGCAAGACTCCAAAGCAGACTGGGAGCATGAAGCTGCAAGCATGGCAGAGGTATACTCCAATTCATATCTGACTATAGCTGCTGCAAGAGCACACCACTGTGGGGAGGGATTTCTTGGCCCCCGCGAAATGGAGGCCCCGCTCCGCATCGATGTTAAAGACGAGCAGGGCTCATTCGAGCTTTATATCCAAAAGTATGAAACCTTTGAAAAGGTCCGTACAACTTGGCAGACCCCTATGTTTACGAAGATTTGGAACTGATTTTATCGAATAGCTCCAGCCTTTGCATAGACGTGCATGGGCTGCCCAGGAAAACCTCCTTTCCCATCGCGTTCTAAGCTTTGGCAACCGCCATATGGAATGGAGATGCTCCCATACTGATGAGAATGAGAATAGGTTCCCAAGATGGTGCCCGGACCGTCCAGGAAAGTATCTCGAATTGATGGCGGAAGCACTGAAAGAACCCATGCTCGAAGATCCCATGCATTATCGCCCCTCCTTCTGTAATACTACCTGGGCCAAATTTACAGTGGATTTCACCAAACGCGGAGTGACCTATGAGGCAGACACCTTTCCAGCGATGACTGGTATCGTCCGAGCAATCCAAAAAATTACCGGAGACACGTTCTACGCCGGACTATGGAAGTTGCACTTCTTTGAAGGCCTTCTATGGCACTCCGAATCGCGTAGCGAGACAATCATCCCGAGCAAAAGATTCGGAAAGAAACCCCAGACTTTGACCAAACGGCCAGTATGGGTTGCCCCATCGTGGTCTTGGGCGTCTGTAAAGGGAATCATACAGTACGGCACTTTGCAGGGAACTGGTGAATACTGCGCCCATCTCGAAGAGTGCAGGATCACTCGCAGCGGTTCAGACCCCCTTAGCGCACCTACAGCTGGCTCCATCCGCATCACAGGACCGGTAACGCTCATCACCAATGTTCAAGCTGAAGATGAACTGGAATCGTGGTTTCCCTCGTGTAGTATTCAGCTAGGTAACGGCACACAGGTTGGAGCACTTGTCAATTATGACTTTGTTCACCGTGAGTCTTGCAGTGTGTTGATGATTACGACACAAATAGGCCTAGTAATCGAAAAGGTCGAACAAACCACGGACACATATGTCCGGGTCGGCACTGCCCAAGTTAGAAAAAGATTCGAAAAACACGATGGTCCTAGCGGAAGGATAGAGCTGCCTCCTCTAACTGCTGCTGATCATTTTCCGCCACGAACTATTACATTGGTCTAATCACTACCAAGACCAGCTCGTATTATGACGCGGCACATTTCCCGAAACTGACGACGGAAACAAATATATACCGACGGTACCCATACCGCAGCGGGTCGCAGTGCAAACGCTCCAAACAGCTCTGATTCGTCGACCGCTCACCTTTACCTTGAGATGTCGGTCACGTTACGTTCGCTACTTCCACAACACCCCCTCCTACCTCTTTTGATACGCTCTTTTGCTTCGTTACCACGTTTCCCGACACCCCGCTCACTCTCACAATATCTCTCTCCGTTACCACCTTACCGCCAGATTCCCACCACTTCCTGCGACATTCCTCTCCGCACGAGGATCACCGCCCATCCACTCGCCTTCCGTCAACACTCACAGCACCTGAGTTCCCTAACAACATGCCCCCGCCGAATCCCCCACCCAACGACACGTCCATCTTCGGCACATACCTCCCACCCTCAGCCCGCCACGGCGTCCAAGAAGCCCGTCGTCCGCCGCACATCCCTGGCCCCGTACGTCCACCCTACCTCGATGCAGTCGTACGCGCTTCAGTCCATTAACAACAACCAGATGTTCAACCCCCACACCCGGATCAACGACGCAATCAATTCACTATGTGCATTCCGCCACTCCATGTCCGAACTCGAGACCAACCACCGCAGCGCTCTCGAGAACAAAGACAAAGACATGGCAACCCTACAGCAGCGTTTCACAAGCTTGAACACACTGCATCGCTCTGCCAAAGCTCGAATCGACGACAAAGTCCTATTGCAGGGCAAACTACAGAACGACATGAAGATCCTGAAGCGGGAACTCGCGGCTGAGAAGGCGAAGAAGGGTGTTGTGGATCAGGATATGGAAAAGCGGTTGGTTGAGGTGCGACAGCAGAACGCTTTGTTGACTGCTAAGGTGTTGGGACTCGAGAAGGAACTTGCGGATGAGAGGGCGAGGGGGGAGGAGAATAGGGATGCGAAGAGGGAGTTGGAGGTTATGAAGACGAAGTTGGCGGATATGGTGAGTGGTAGTAAGGTCAAGGTTGAGGTTGTTGAGTAGGGGGTGATGGAGGGTTTGGCGGGGTTGGGAGATGGTTGTGGAGGGGTTTCATGTAGGTATCTGGATGCGATGATGGGCTTAATAGGACGTGTTCTGGGATATTTGTATGCACTGTTGGATAATAGTTGGTCCCGAACTCTTTCCAATGTATTACGTGTGTTGACCACCACCCTGTTGCAATAGTGCTTCTCTCCGCTGCCGCATCCTCGTCTCTTCCATCTCCAACCACTCCACCTCTCTCTTCCGCTGCGCTTCCACATGTGGCGAGACTTGTGACGTCGCGTTATTCGCTCCTGGTATCGGTATTGTCTCCGCATTCCTACCATCACCTCCATCGTCCCTTCCGACGAACCCAGTCTCATTCGTCCGCCCATGTTCTTCCATCCCATTATACGGCAACTCCCCCGGTTGATCCTCAGCCCTGAGCTCCTGCGCTCCTCCCATAGCGTATTTGTATGAGTGCGACCGATCTAGTTCCTGCGTGAGGCCGTTGCCCGACATTTCCTGGTATTGTGTTTGGTATGCGCCAGCCGTAGGGGCGGACTGGTCTGCACCAAGCACCATCTTATCGCCGTCACCTTCTCGTCTTGCTAGTTCGTCGTCGGTAAGGGTAGTAGTGGGTGGCAGCGCCCTCCGCTTCTTGCGTCGCCAGAAGTACCATCCGCCTATGATGAGGGCGAGGATGATGATGACTCCTATTGCTATGCCGGCGATTGCGCCACTCCCTATTCTTGATTTGGATTTGCCGTTGCGGGTAGGATTGGGACGTGAGGTTCGAGTAGTACGAGGTGGCTTGGTTGTGGTGGTCGGTCGAACTGTTGTTGAGGATGTTGACTTTGGTGACGGATCTCTTGTACCCCCATCGATTGTACCTAAAGTCGAATATACAATTGCCGGGGTGGGGCTTGTTGCGAGGCCTATGATAAGATCGTCCACTACTGTTGTTTGCCCTACAGTTATTGTATAGTGTGGCTCACGGGTATCGCTGGCGGGTATTTCAAGTAGGAGCGATGGGGAAGGTTCAACTGTAACCGCAATGATCGATGAGCCGTTATCGAGTAGAGTCTGCTCGTATGCGGTAGGGTTGGCATACGCCCCTGAAATCAGATGGGTGGTCAATATTGCTCCAGAAATTTGATCCGTCATTTTCGGTAATCATAAAGTAGACTGCGATAACGAGTCGCCACTCTTACAACAGAGTGAGACGCATCTACGGACATGCGAATGTCGTGATGAGGAGGCTCGACAGGTGGAGCTAGACAGTAAGAAAGGATCAACGGCTTTCTTATCATGTACAACGATCTAGGATACATAACCTGAAGGGGCCGTAACACGGGCACAGCCTAAATGGGGCTGTCCTCGCACAATAGTTGGAACCATCAATTTATAGATTGCGTACCGTATGTAGTTTAGCGGCTACCCTTCTGAGCGCTGGTTAAATGTGGTTCTGGCTGCGCATGCCGTCTATTCGCTAGATGGCCTTTCCGCCCCAATCCTATCTATCTCAGCAAACGTTGATTCGACATCTTGAGACCGTCACCGGCTGTGCCGTGCAGAGCGAACATGCAGCTTACATGGACATCTGTGAACCCACTCGATGTCTCCGACCCCGACAAAGTCAGCCACAACGCCTCCAAGGCTACTTCTCCTTTTAGAGCCCGGTAACTGCGCGCAACGGTCTCTGCCACCAAGCCTCGCGACCTTCACACATCTCCGCACCAAACCACTGATCCGCGCCCGATCTCGTAATCGTTCTGTCGAACCTTGGGAATTCTCCCCATCTCCTTCCGACAGAGAACATGTCGTCCATCTCCTTCGCTCGCGTCGCAAGAACATTCATTCAACCTCTCTGCTCTCACCAGCCTTCCCACCCCCTTGCATTAAAAGCGTCGCCTGTCTCTTCCGTATTCTTTCCTCTTCCGTCTTTAGCCATTCGAGTTCTCTCCTTCTCTGCGCTTCTATATGTGGCGAGGTATGTGAAGCAGTATTATCGTTTGCCGGAACTGGTATCTCCACTTCCCCTTCATCTGTCGCCTCAGTCACTCCAGGAAGTGGTAATTCCCCCGGTATATCATCAGACCCGATCTCATGTGCTATGTATCTGTGCGACTGCGAGCGGGACAGTTCCTGCGCGCGACTATCGCCAGACATCTCTTGGCGAGCGCCGAATGTGGATGCATCGTATTGCGGATCAGGAAGACTCTTCTCATCATCTTGTTCTGCTCGTTCGTCGGCTTCATGTGGGTTTTTGCTTGTCGTAGACTGTATGCGTCTTCTTCGGCGCCAGAAGTACCAGCCACCTATGACAAGGGCGAGGATAACAATTCCGCCTATAGCTATGCCGGCGATTGCGCCGCCACTTAGTCCCGGACTTTTGGTGTTGGTATCCGCTGCGGCTGTTGTATATTGAGTCCCACTGTCGGATTGTATCGCACTCGCGCTGCCTTCAGAACCCGAAGCTTCCGAGTCCGTTGTCGCATCAGTTGCTGAAGTTGTTTGACTCTCTCCAACATTTGTGGAACTTGGTGCTGAGATCTCCACCGGCGTTGATTGCGTCGTTGTTTCGACAGCACTCGTCTCATAAACACCTTGTCCAAAAGGGTCACGACGGAAGGCTATCACTGTCCGATCTGTCGCTAAAGAGAATTCACATCCGGATACGCGATAGGTTTTGTCTGCCTTCGTCATGGTCTGACGATCAGGCGGAAGGCTGATACCATATTGATGGGGAAACATGACCAGCGTCATGTATATGGGCCCTAGTTCGGGTGGCTCTGTAAAGAACAACTTTGTTGTTATAGTTGTGTCGGCGGAATCCCAGCCATCGACGCTGAACCAGCCGTATGTATTTTTTGGTGGGCCGGTTATTGCGGGCGCGTCTGTCGTTGTGGGTGCCTCTATCGTCGGAGGTGCGCCTATCACTATGGATGTGACTATCACTATGGATGTTTCTGTCATTGTGGATGGGTCTGCCATTGTGGATGGGGTGCGTGGGACCGAGGAGTTGGGCGGATGGAAATCGAAGACCCTTCGAATTGTCGGGAGTTAATGCGCGAAATATCACGTATAATGAGATCAGACAACAGGCCATGTGACTCTAAAGAGTTCCCTGGCATTCATACATCACCGCAAGTACTTCTCAACAGCGAGCGGGGTACCTCAATCCATCGCCCCCAATCCTAAGCAATCCCTTCCTTCTCGCGATAGGCCAATAGGTCAAAGAGACAAAGGTACCCACTTGTCTACACGTCGAAATTGATGCATCGGGCCTTTCCTACAGGTCGTGTGACGCAGTATCGAATCAAACATCGGGACTGTGTTTGCGGCACAGTCAAGCGAGCAAGGCTGTGCATGGTGGATGGACTTTCATTCGACGAGCTATCCTATGTACCGGAATGATCAGACCTTTGTCGTCATTTCAATGCAAGCTGTAGTGATGGATTCAGAGGTCGCAGTTTCGGTCGCAGATACGTGTTGGGAGCTTTTGCACTCGGTGCGATGCTTCGGCAGACAGTAGATTTGAGGTTTTCTGGACTTGGAGCATAGAGAGACATATGGGCACTTTTAATTTGTGCTTGAGTTTCTTTCAAAATCAGCTAAGTAGAGGTTTTGCTGTGCCTATACTATCAATTCTTCGCACCGCTTTGCGCCGCAAGCAACTCTCGCCGCTTCCGCATCCTTTCCTCCTCCATCTCTAGCCATTCCATCTCTCTCCGCCGTTGCGCTTCGACATTAGATGAGAGTGAATTGTTTGTCGCCTCAGTCGTATCCGTCATCTCCGTCATCTCAGCAGCGGGTCGTTGCGGGGCGTGATAAGGGACTCGCGTAGTGTATTCGTCGGGACCGTTCAACAGCTCAGCCGGCTCAGACTCGGTCTTCAGCTCATGAGATCCATTCATCGCGTATTTGGTGTACTGTGTAGGATCCAGCTCTTGCGTTTCCACCTGACGACTCCCCGGCATCTCTTGTGGGCGCTCCTTTGTATCGAGTTCTGGGATGCCTCCGTCTCCGCCTCCGTCTCCTGCAATGTGCGCACTAATCTCAGTGCTCGTGACCTTCCCTCTCGTGCGTTTTCTTCGCCGCCAGAAGAACCATCCACCGATGAGCGCGATAACGAGGACGGCCGCAATAGCTATTCCAGCGATTGCGCCGCCTCCTAGCCCTGAACTACCGCTGCCGTTGTCCTGTGACGCCGCTGATGACTGAGAGGTTGGTGCGCCGTCGCTGCTTCCAGTGCTCAAGATTGGCGAGCTTGCGGTTGAGCTGGGAGGTGTGTCAGATGTGATATCTGACGTTATCTCTGAGCCTATGGTTGAACCAGCCGGCGCGGTGTCAGATGGTATACCACCAATTGCAGATGTGACCCGCGAGCTGGGAGTGAGAGTCCGAAAACCATTGTCAGTTCCAACATAGGAGATGACCTGGGAGGTGATCGAGTCAACCTGGCGCCTATCAATGTATGCTCCCCTCATTTCGAGCCGGATCCGTCGTCTCGAGTCAGGATATGGACGATAAGTGGTTATAGTGAGTTCAGCAGAAGAGACAGGCTCTACACTTTCTGGTATAGAGATGAAAGAAAATCAGGCTCGGTATTGCAACAACCAGATCAGAAGACTCGGGGCGGGCTCCGTAGTGAAACAAGTGCGGCGTATCCTCCCAGCATGCCAAGTCACTCCGAACGAACACAGCCAGGGTAGAAAACCTTGAAGTATCTCTGTGAAACTTTCTAGCCTTACAATAGGCCAGAGATACATGAGCCCGCAGCGAAATGCGCGTGATGGAGCAAGGATCGGTCCTTTCAAAGCGCTTGTGTGACTTGTTGACGAATCAACGGTGATGTCGTGATTGCGGCACAGCAAGACTGTGCATGGCGGACTGGTATCTGGCTCAGCGCAGGATGTCGTTCCAGGATGATCGGGTAGCTGTCTGGAGACAGGATACGGCATATGTCCTAAGGGTTGATGTTCCGATGCCCTTGTCATAGTTTAGCACACAACGAGATCCACAGATACCCAACCCACCCTGAATCAAAAATCTCTATATTCAAAGACTAAACGTGTGAATACCATATATACGCTCGCTAACACATCAAGCCCCCTCTCATCACCATCTCATTGATCAAATCACCCCGTCACCCCCCAGCGCCCCAGTCAAACTCTTCATCCTCCGCCCCAACAAATCATCTTCACTCGCCAAACTAACCAAACTCTTCCTCCTCCCCCTATCACTCTTCATCCTGCCCATCTCCCTTCCAACCCCTCTCGCACCAGCTCCACCTTCACTTCCATCTTTCTGCGGACTCTTCCTCCCCTTCCCCAGCACCGTCATCTCCAGTGGCCTATCCTCATCCGCCGAGCTCGCCGTGCCAGACCTACGGTGATGTCTCCTGCGGCTAAACTTCGGACTCGTGAGTCCGTCAATGGCATCCGCGAGGCCTATTGTGCCGAAATAATCGCCTCCTTCTCTTCTCCTTGTAGTCGTGCCCGCGGCAGGCGTGTACCCCGGTGTCTCGGCATCGTATCCATACCTTCTGGAATCTGTTTCTTCGAAAGCTTCGGTAATCCATTTTCCGCATTTGAAGATATACTTCCAGCCTTCGGGGAATACACCGACGAATTGGAGGAAACCGTGGCTTATACCGGGGACGAGATCCACAACTACACTATCCTCCTCGTTGAAACTGCCTCGTGCCCAGTCTAGTCCCAACTCCTTCGCTGCGACCCATTCTGCGCGCTTGGCTTGTCTCAACCGCCCGGCGAAGATCACAGTGTCATCGACCAGGGGGTCGCGCTCGCCTGTCAACATCCATGTGCGTGGGAACTTTGCTAAGAGAGATTCCGGTGCCAAAAGAGGGGAGAGGAGGTAGTCTGTGCTGAAATCGGGGCGGTGATGGGGACCGATGTAGAGGATGATCATGGCACGCATCATCTCGGGTGTGAGTATGCGGTCGTTGAAGTAGGATATCATGCTGGACATTGCGAGGCGGGTTTTGATGGCTGTGGCGGGTGGTGCGGGGATGGCAGCGGCACCAGGAGTGGGAGGTTGAGTCGCGAGAGGTGTTGGTGGGAGACTTGATTTCTGGCTGGGAGGTTGCTGCAGAGTGGCGGTGCTGCTGTCTTGGCCTGTGTGTGCGGCGGAGAGTTTGATCATGGTCTGGGGAGACGTAATGTTGCCGTCATTCGCTTTGGGCATCGATCCATTGACCATGCTCACTTTGGTGCGCTCGTCCTCACTATCCGAATCATCGGAGCCATACGGTGTATTCGGTGCGAGTTGTCGATAGTCGTCGCTTTTGTGTCGTAAGATGGGTCGATTCGTCTTCCTGACTCGTCGATCGCGGATGAGGGCCATTTGCTCGTCCGTCATCCAATTGCCAATGTTCATGTCGAGCGCTGGGTAGATCAACACCACGCCGATCGGAGGTGGGATAGGGGATTCGCCCTGCCATCTCCGCGTCTCGGTGGAACCACTCTGAAGTATCATGAGTATCATGGCCACAGCCAAGTTCCCACCAGCTGAATCGCCTGAGACGACGATCTTCGGCTCTGCTTCTCCTGACAGGCCCATGCAAGTTCCTCTCGACGCGATGATCATGTGATAGACGTCGTAGCATTCGTTGAGCGCATATGGATACGGGTGTTCAGGCGCCTTCTTGTAGTCTAGACTGAGGACAGGCAGTCCCGTCTTGCCAGCCCAGCCCATGAGCTTATCGTCGTGGTTCCTTGGGTTCATAGCAACAAAACCACCCCCAGGGATATCCAAGACAACTTTATCTTGCTTCTTCAATGCACTCCGCGGCCCATTGAAGTACAGCCAACCTGTTACTGGCTCTTGGTACGAACTAGCTCTCGGTCGTGGTATGCGAATTTGGCGCGGCGGGTACACCATCAGCCTCGGTCGCATCATGCTCGTCAACGCACCCAGATACGGTGTCGTTCCTTTGTTCCATGCCACGCGCAGGTGGTCCACTGTGAGCGTCGCTCTGATCTTCCTGACTTTCTCATCTGCCTGCTCGGCACATATCATGTAGTATATGCTGAACACGATCGACAGCAGATCCCTCACACCTTTCCGTTTTATCCGCATAGCAGACCAGAAGCCTGCATCCAGGGCGGTCGTAACCCATGTCGCGCGGAAGTATGAGCGTGAGTACAAACTCGCGAGAGGCTCAGGACACTCGAGGCCAACGAGTTTGCCAAAGTTGCGGGCGACGTAGAGGTAGAGCAGCGTTATGAGGACGGATTGCCAGACGGTGAGTTTCTTGGAGAGGAGAGCGGATACGCGGCGGAGGATCGGTGGGCCATGGCGGTCGCCTCTGTGCGTCTATTAGCATACAATGGTTGGTTTGAGGATGTATGCGTAGGCTTACCTGTAGAGGTAGAAGGACCAAAAGGACACTACAGCCAGTACTTGTATCTTCCTAAACTGCACCGACGGCCGTCCCAATACATGGTCTATCATGACTATACCTCTCTCCCAGCACAAACAGCTATATCGAACCCAGTGAATACAGTCGCAGGTCTACTGTGCGTCATGAAAGGCGTCAAGTCGGGTCTCCACGTGGTGTCGCCGGGCTTACAATGTCGGTAATGCGTGTGTTGTAATTCGTAAGCATGTGAATGTCACGTCGCAATGTCAAACCCGGTGTGGATCCGTCTGGGGTAACGGGGAAAGGCGTGGAAATGGGGGAAGGCCAGGTCAGCCGTCCTGCGTGGTTTGTCCATGACTACAGGAATAGCCGTTCAGCCCGTCGACAAGCGGCGGCGCATTAGCTGGTTTGAGGCTGTGTGGTTGGGTGAGCGTCGAGCATGTGACAGGTTTGTGGAGGAAGCGTGCGTGCGCTGCCATCATGTGAAAGCCGCGCTATGACACGTTCTCGGCTTTGTTGCACCTTCGCCCCGAGGAGCCTAGCTGCGCTAACGTCTTCCGCCTCAGCCGCAATTCAACCGCCAACGTTACCGCCTGTCACGTTCTCTTCATGAGAGCTTCACATGATTGCTTGCGACGATGCCGTGTGCTATGGAATGGTGTTGGTGCTGAGTACTTTGCATGCTTGCTGGGGAGAAGGAGTCATGCACAAGATACCAGCATACCCACTACTTTCGCGTCTGCTTCACTAATCTTACTCTCGAAGTATACAGATTACCTCTTATCTCTCATGAGAAATTGTAAACGCATTGATGTCATCGTATCTTATTAGTCATGTCTAGACGCTGACACAAATCTCAAGTCGCACGAAATACACCTTAAGGATTAAACCAAATATCACTCTTACCATTCCACAAAGCTCTATCCCGATCCTTCTCTGTCCCCTCCAGAATTCCGAACATCGAGGCACTGAGAGAAAGAGTAGGATAGAATGTATGCATGCTAGATTTGAGAATATATGAGGAGATAGTATACATGTGAAGAAAATGCCTGGCGGCCCCTGGCCTAACCAACATCAACCGGAATAGATGCCCTAATATGAAGCAAAATAAACTCGTCTCCTTCACTCAGACGCTTCGGCCTCCTCGTCCGACTCCTCCACCTCGGCATCACTAACCACATCGCTCAACACATCACTCTCCACCTCACTCAACCCGCTACTCATCGCATCACTCTCATACTCATCCACAACCTTCTTCTTGCTCTTGCTCTTCTTCGCACTGCCCCCAGCTCCCTTAACAGGACTACCACCACCCTCCTTCCTTCCACCAGTCCTCTGCACGAGGTGATCGATCGGACAACCTTCATCCCATCCTTCACTACTCTCCCCCGTTATCGCGCGACACCTCGGACAGCTCTTCCCGTGCTTGATGAGCAGTTGGTGAAGCGGGTACTTGAGGTGGTCCGGAACTCGGACTTCGCAATGCGCGTATGTTGAGTTGCGGTTTGCGCCTGCGAAGGTGCCTTTTGCGCCGGGTGCGAGGCCTGCGGGGTCGCCTGGGGGAGGTACCCAGCCTAGCCATTTACACAGGCGGAAGACGTGGGTATCGACGGCGAAGGAGGGGCGTTGGAGGCAGAAGAGGAGGACGCAGGATGCGGTTTTGGGGCCGATGCCGGGGTACTTTGTTAGTGCGTTGAAGGCGTCGTCGTTGGAGAGGAGGTGCAGGTGGTCGAGTGAGACGATGTTCTGATCTGCCTTCTCGACCTCTGCATGTTTCTCGCCTTCGGCCTCGTTCGCAGATCCGGGGGCTTTGTCTGATGAGGAAAGCAGCTCGTGGCGCCGTGCCTGGTTCTCTTCCCAGACCATTTGCAGGATCTTCTTGATGTCTTTGCTCTTCACATCTGCGAGTCCGCCGCTCTTGATCGCCTCGAAGATCTCCTTCTGGTCTGCTTGTCGTACTTTGTTCCAGTCTACACTGCCTTTGCCGACGCCTTCTTGCAGAATGCCGAACTTTGCAACGAGACCGGCGAATGCGCGTGATGAGTTGGTGCCGGACGTCGCTGCCGAAAGACGTGTTCGAATGAGGGCATCGAGAACGGAAGG